CTAAAATACACAAATTCAACTCTAGTACTATTGGTGACAATATGGTAAGTACTTACTTTCTATCATAGGCCAAAATGTAATAATTTAATTCATTATTCAGATTTTTTGCATTGATAGGTTTCGATTGATCGAATTTCTGGACTTTCGGATATGAAAGTCCAGTTTGAGTTTTAATTTTGAGATGACAGATTTGTGTTGATTTTTATACCACCAAACAAATGCATAAGGACTCATATGTTTTAAGCTATAATTTTCTATTCTTTTAACAACTTCCATCGAAAGGTCTAAAAAAATGATCTTCAGGGATATGCAGTCGAAAAAAGTCGACTTATATACTTTTCGGACTTTTGACAATAATTACGAGTTTTTGGATTCTGTCCGACTTTCGTAATCGATTTTAAATTCTAAGTTTATAGTTAGCAATTTTTGAAGATTTAATCTGTTAAGGACATGTAGATGCATTCTATTAATAAAAGACCAGTAGAAGACCTATGGTAGATATTTGAAGTTTATAAAGGGTGTTTTTTAAGCATGGATAGAACTTTAAATTGTAAAAAGTAACACAAAAAATTAAATTTTGATGAAACTTTTTTTATTTGTTTCAGTATACTCTGACAAATCATCATGAATAGATTCACTTGAACAACGCTACGAAATTATCCAAATTTACTTTGAAAATCAGGCTCAAGAGTTTGGCAAATGCAAATGACCCGTTGTTTTATCGCAAAATTGTGTTCAGCGATTAGGCGCATTTTTTGGCTTAACGGGTTTGTTAATAAGCAAAATTGCCGCACATGGAGTGAGACCAATCCACAAGAGACCCTACAGACTGTGCACTAATGCATGGTGCGGTTTTCACGCTTGTGGCATCATTGGACCTTATTTCTTCAAAAATGAGGCCGGAGCTCGCGTTACGGTCAATGGAGATCGTTACCGCACCATGATCAATGATTTTTTGTTTAAAAATATGGATGACATTGATCCGGAGGAGATGTGGTTTCAACAGGATGGCGCTACGTGCCATACGGCGAACGCAACCATCTACTTATTGAAATAAAAATTTGTCGATAAGTTGATTTCAAGAAGTGGACCTGTCGATTGGCCTCCAAGGTCGTGCGATTTGACACCTCTCGATTATTTCCTGTGGGGCTACGTGAAGTCACTGGTTTATGCTGATAAACCAGCAACAATTGACACCTTGGTGGCCAGCATTGTTCTTGCTATTCGTAACAAACGGCTAGCAGTGCTCGAAAAAGTGGCTAAAAATTGGACGTCCAGAATGCACTTCGCCAAGAACAGCCGCGGTGCCCATATGCCCGAAATCATTTTCAAATGTTAATGTCACATTGATCTTTCGAATAAAAAAAATTTTGATTAAAATTTAATTTTTTGCGTTATGTTTTATAATTTCAAGTTCTATCGGGCTTAAAAAACATCCGATAAAATCAGTTTGAGGTCTTCCACGTTTAGAAATCCTGTGGAAACTCTTCTGTCTTGAGAACAACTTTAAATAGTCTTTAATCTAAGAAATGCTATGACAGACCTTTTATCGATAGAAAATCTTTAAAATCTGAAGATTGAAAGAGGTATTTATGTATCGAAAAACGGTTGAAGCCCTCGTCTTCGAAAAGCTCATAAAAACCATTCCATTTAAGGCAGTTTTTTTAGAATATTTTTTTACCCTCTGCAATAGTATGGAGGGTATAATGTTTGTCATTCCGATCCTTTTTTATACCCTCAGCCATATGGCTAGAGAGGGTATATATCATTTGATACGGCCAAACAGCCCTTATCGAAATAAAGGTTTTAGGGTCGTAGTCCTGGACCAAATACGTTTCAGGACATTTGGAGTCGATATAGCGATGTTCGTCCCTCCGTCTGTCTGGCTGCTGCGCACGATAACTCTTGAAGGGAGTATCCGATTTGGTCCAAACTTGGTACATCGTGATATTATTATCAAACTTAGATCGAGTTCGGAGATGGGCAATATAGGTCCACTTCTTCTGGTACCTACCCAAAAAAATGTCAACATTCTCAATAAAAAAATTACCGCACAGAAACAGAAAGGATAATCCGGTTTTGCTCCAACTTTGCAAATCATAATATTTGCATCAGTGCTAGGTCAGATGCGAAAATGGACTATATCGGTCCACAGTACCTCCCCCACAAATGGTGAATAATTATAACTCTTATAAAATATGGCATAAGAGTTCGATTGTCTTCAACTTTCACACATCCCAATAATTTTATTAACCCAAGATCTGCAGTTAAAATGGAATGTAAAGGTCCACTCCTTCCTGGTACCTCCCCCACAAAAGGTAGAAATTTGAAATATATAGTAAGCTTTTAAAACGCGAAATGAACATCCGATTCTATTTAATTAACATTCGATTCCATTCCTTGGCACATCTGAATATTTCAATTAACATAGGATCTGTCATAAAAAAAATAGAGATCGGACCATTCCTTTTGGTACCTCTCCACAAAGAATCAAAGTTTTGAATAATCAAAACTTTTATAAAATTCGAAATAAGCATCAGGTTCTCTTTTTATATCAGACATCCCTTTATTTCCACTACGTCTCCCGCAAAGGGTCAAAATTTTGAGTATCCATGAAATTAAAATCCGATTCCATTCAGACTTGGTACATCTCAACATTTCCATCAACACAAGATCTATTATAAAGATGGTAGAGATCGGACCATTCCTTCTGGTACCTCCCCCACAAAGGGTTAAAGTTTTGAAAAACCAAAACTATCATAAAATCGGAAATAGGCATCCGGTTCTCTTCAAATTACACACATCACAATATTTTTATTAACCCAAAATCAGCTGTGAAGATGGGATTCATCGGCCGACTCCTTCTGGTACCTTCCCTACAAAGGGTCAACATTTTGAATATCCATGAAGCTCATAAAACTTTAAATAAACATCCAACTCCATTCAGACTTGGTACTTATCAATATTTCCCTCAACACAAGATCGGTTATTAAGATGGTAGAGATCGAGTCATTCCTTCTGGTACTTCCCCCACAAAGGGTCAAAGTTTTAAATGACCAAAACGATAATAAAATCCCAAATAAGCAACGGACAATTACTTTCCATCAACGCAATTTCCATCAACGCAAGATCTGTTATAAAAATGATCATGACCATTTCTTCTGATACCTCCTTCACACAGGGTTCAAGATTTTGAAAAACAAAACGCTCCAAGAAAGCGAAATAAGCATCCAAATCCATCCATCCATCTTCTCAAATTTCAGAAACACACAAACATTTTTGCTAACACAAGATCTGCTGTGAAGATGATGTACATCTGCCAACCCCTTCTGGTACCTCACCCACAAAGGGTCACAATTTCCAAAGTTTATATCTGTCATAACTTGCGAAAAAAGTAGGCGATTTTTTACAACTTGCTATATCTAAACATTTCTCTTAACCGGAAATCTGATATGAATATGTACTTTATCGAAGTTTTTGATTTCGCATAAAATTTGATATAAATGTTTGATTTCCTTCAAATTTTGCACATACCAATAATTTTATCTGCATTCGATGAAGTCTGAAAATGGAGTACTTTGGGCCGATATATGTGTTACCTCTCGCATATTTCCTCATTTTCCAAAAATTTGCAAATATTTCATATAAAGTATAGAAAGTACTCGATATAGTCCAAATCTGGCACTTTGTAATATTTAGGTAAGATATGAATTGGTCAATATTGGCCAAGTGCTTCGGAACCTCCCCCATATAAAGGGTCAATAGTTTGAATAATCATAACTCAAGGCTGGGAGTATACATCTGTCGGCAAAACCCACTGATACTATTTTACTTGGTTCAGATATATTTGGGATGGAGGTTTGAAATTTGATAGAGAGCTTTGTATTGTTTTAAGAATCATAGGTTTAGTAAATAGGTCATGTAGGTCCACTTTTTGGTGGAGTATATATATAAAGGAAAGCCTCGATTTCAAGACTGGGGTTTTTTCGTATAGAGGACCTGTAGAATAAACGAAAAGAATATCTCTTCTCCCCAAATTGTCTTTTTCCTAATCCAAATTGATTTCCACCCAATAGTTATTTCCGCTCAAAGTTATTTCAACCATTTAGTTTATATAAGTTTCCACAAAAGAAACCTCTCTTCTTGTGTTTAGATAATTATTCAAAGTTTTAATGCGATTTGCATTGCATATTCTATTCAAAATCAAACACTTCAAAAGCAATAACAATTGGGAAATAATGATTGAACGGCGAATGAAAAATGTCGATGATTCGATAATGAACCACAAAGCTCATTACAAACAAACAACAACAACAACAACGACAAAAAGAGAGGAAAAAACTTAGTCAAATGAATTTTCCATTGATTTCAACTTTATGATGGCTTCATTAAGCAGCCGTAGCAGTTAGTTTAGAGGAGGATGTGGGGCAGGGCAAAAACAACTACGGCGACTGCACAGAACGAATACATTAAACAAACAATTGAAAAACCTGTTATAATTGGTGGGAGGTGGGAGGAGGAGGAAGAATAATGATGATGCTGCCAATGCTGCTATTGACGCTGTTGATGGTGATGATGATGATGGCGATGGCGATGAATGTATCAATCAATCCAATCCAAACAAATAAACAATTGAAATCAATACCCTGCTAGTTAGGATTGATTGGATAGATGAACGGAGAGACCGGGGAAGGATGTGAGCTGGATGCTGGGCTCACTCTACGTAGTTAGCAATTGCTTGCCATAATTTATTGTGGGGAGAACTTAGGGGGACAAATTTCCAAGGGATTTGAATTAAAATATGCTGTAGATACACATACACACTTACACACAAACACACACTTTCATCAAACACCGGTTGAAGATTACAAACTTTGAAAGGATTTCAAACACTTTTGCAAATCAACACGTCCTTTGTTAAAAGTTTTCATATTTTTTCCACTACATTTTCTTTTATTTTTAGTTTTAGAAATTATCTTAGCTTAACTTCACAAACTTACCGATTCGATCGAACAGCTCGCCACCGGCTGCATATTCCAGAAATATGTATTCAATATGACCATGTGAACGATTACCGAAAAATCTCAGGATGTGCTGGTCCTGTAACATTTTCTGTATGCAAATTTCTTTACGCACCGACATGATGGCATCCGAATGTTTTTTCAAATCGACCATTTTCATAGCAACAGCTTCACCGGTTTGACGATTAATCAACAATTTTACTCTGTAATGAGAAAGAGCGAGAGAGGGAGAACGTGACAAGAGAGATGTTGAAATAACAAAAGCATTGTTGCAATAAACTTGAGGGAAACTTGTGATACTATACAGCAGTGTAGCGAGAGAGAGAGCGAGTTCATGTAACAAAACTCTCTTCAATGTTGTTACAACAACTCTGACGATTATTTAATTCAATTCAAAAACGTGGGCGTTCTATTGAAACAGTTCTCAAACTAAAACACGTTGTGTGTGGTGTATCCTTTAGGAGCAGAGTTACCATTGCAGATTTTTTTTATAAATTTTTTGAAGGGAAAGTTTTTGAAAACACCAGAAAAATAAAACAAAAAATAATGTATTTCAGCCTGCTGAAGATGAGGACGCACTAATTTTGATATAACCTTTCCGACTTTTCGAAATAGATTTTTGATTCTTGGATCATATATTCGTTGTATTATTATTTTTAATTTCCATACGATCCAAAAAGTATGCAACGATTAAAGTACTTTTAGTATTCTACTCTCTTAATGCTAAATTAAGGTCCCATTACACATGATGTTACATTCAGATATAAAGGGACTATTTCACATTTTTATAACCTCAGCCATATGGCTACCCCCAGCCTTGAGTTATAAATGTGACAGATTTGGACTATATCGACTATTTCTTTACTTTAATTGAGATGTGTGCACATTTTCGGAAAATGGAAATATGTGTCAGGTAACAGATATAGCGGACCGCAGTATTCCATTTTAATACTTCATGTAATACAGATAAAAAATATTGGTATGTGCAATATTTGAAGGAAAGCGAACATTTGTATTCAATTTTTATGCGAAATCATAGATTCCGACAAATTACATACTCATATCAGAATACTGGTTAAGAGAAATATTTAGATATAGCAAGTTGTAAAGAATCGCCGACTTGTTTCGCAAGTTTTGACAGATATAAGTATTGGAAATTGTGACCCTTTGTGGCTGAGGTACCAGAGAGGGTTGGCAGGTGTATATCATCTTCACAACAGATCTTGTGTTAGCAATAATGTTTGTATGTGGGAAATTTGAGGAGATGGATGGATGCATTTAGATGCTTCTTTCGAATTCTTCGAGCGTTTTTTTCTTGTTTAAATGTTGAACCCTATGTGGGGAGGCACCAGAAGAAATGGTCCGATCTCTTTATCTTTATAACAGATCTTGTGTTGATGAAAATATTGAGATACACCAAGTCTGAATGGAATCGGATGTTAATTTAAATTGATATTCAAAATTTCGACCATTTGTGGGAAGGTACTTGATGGACTGGACCGATATTATCCATTTTTGCACCTGACCTAGAACTGACGTAAATATCAGGTTTTTCAAAGTTGGAACAAAATCGAATTAACTATTCTCTTTCTGAGCAGAAAAAAAAATTCTTTTGAAAATTTCGACCGATTGTGGGCGAGGTACCAAAAGGAGTGGACCGATATATTCCATTCCGAGATGTGAACCAATCGGACTCTTATATCACATTTTATTAGAGTTGTAATTATTCAAAATGTTGGCCATTTGTGGGGGAGGTACTTGATGGAGTGGACCGATATTGTCCATTTTCACACCTGACCTAGCACTAACGCAAAAATTTAGATTTGCAAAGTTGGAGCAAAATCGGATTATTGTTTCTCTTTCTGTGCAAAAAAATAAAGTTTTTGATAATTTCGACCTATTGTGGGGGAGATACCAGAAGGAGTGCACCGATATTACCCATCTCCGAACTTGATCTAAGTTTGACAAAAATATTACAATGTACCAACTTTTGATCAATTCGGATACTCCCTTCGAGAGTTATCGTGCGCACCAGCCAGGCAGACAGACAGACGGACGGACATCGCTAGATCGACTCCAAATGTTCTGATACGGATTTGGTCCAAAGAGACCTAGGGTCTAAAACCGTTATTTCGACTAGGCACGTTTTGACCGTATCAAATGATATATACCTGTAGCCATATGGCTGAGGATATAAAAAAAAATATTTTACTCCACAGAAACAGAAAGGATAATCCAATTTTGCTCCAACTTTGGAAGTCCTAATATTTGCACTAGTGTTAGCTCAGGTGCGGTGTACTCCAAAAGTACTTCCCGCACAAAGGGTCGAAATTTTGAATAATTCTAACTCGTATAAAATGTGATGTCTGATTGTCTTCAAATTACACATAACCCAATATTTTTAAGATCAATAAGATCTGGTGTCAAGATGAAATATACCGGTCTACTCCCTCTGGTACCTCCCCTCACAAAGGGTCAAAATTTTGAACATTCATTCAGACTTAGCACATCTCAATAATTCCATCAACACAAGATCTGCCATAAAGATGGTAGGGATCGGATCATTCCTTCTGAAACCTCCCCCACATAGGGTTCAATTTTCAAACATCCAAATATTTTTGCTAACGCAATATCTGTTGTGATGATGATATATATCTGCAAATCCCTTCTGGTACCTCACCCACAAAGGGTCACAATTTCCAATACTTGTATCTGTCAAAACTTGCGAAACAAGTCGGCGATTCTTAACAACTGGCTATATCTAAATATTTCTCTTAACCAGAAACCTGAGATGAATATGTAATTTATCGAAATTTGATTTCGCATAAAATCGGTTTCCTTCAAATTCTACAAAAATTATTACATATCTCATATAACGTGAAGGAAGTAGTCGATATAGTCCAAATCTTTGACGTTGTCACATAAGTGTTAATTTAATATTTATATAAGTCTTAATTGTTATAGAAGAGTTCAGAATGGTCTTCAGTATGGAGAGAAGTTATCCTATCTACCAAACATCTTAGAAGTATCTTCGTTTTATAAGTGATCAAAAGGGTCTACACTATATCGAAGACCTCAGGAAGGAATCTCATCCTTAAGAAATCTTATAATGGTTTTAAGACTAAAAAAACGTCAATAGAGTCTTCTATCTATCTTCTATTGAAGGTTCTGTATCCATAGAAAAATTTAAAACTGCTTTCTGTCTATAGAAAACTTTAGAAGGGTATTTTATCTATCAACAGATATATCTCTATATGCAGATATGTCTCTATCTATAGATATATCTCTATCTACAGATATATATCTACAGATATACTCTATCAATAGAATAGACGTTTACCTATTGTAGTCCTCAAAAGAATTTTCTAATTATAACAACCCATATAGAAAGCTTCAAGAGATAATTATTTTTAGGGAAGACCTCAAACGATAATTTTCTCTACAGAAGACATCAGAAGATGGTTCTCTCTATAAAATACCCATGAAAGGAATCCCATAACTACAGAAATTCTTATAAAATCAGACATTTGAAGAACACCAAATGTACAAAGAAATATTCTCTGCAATAATAATATTGTAAGTCTGCAGAAAAGCTCACAAAAATATTCCGTCTATGGAAAGGTGTAAAAGACCCCGGGATAATTTTGGACAAAGGCATTTGAAGAGTATATCCATAGAAGGACTCAAAAAAATCTGACCAAACCCCCCAAATCCGACAACTCTATTCTCTATACAAATCATCAATACACGTTGAAGATGAGTTCAATAAAACCATGCATTGCTCTCTCCCATCAAACATGCTCTATCACAACAACACGAAATGCGACAACACAAAACACCTCTAAGGTTTCATTGTTAAAATCCAATACAACTTTCTCTCCATTTATCTCTCTTTTGTGTGGTATCACATCTTATCACAACTCTAAACTACTGACCTGCGCACTTTTATTCTATGATAGAGACACATTTTCTTGTTTGACACAGAGAGAGATGGGGAGAGATATAGTCGCCCTCCCACACTCCTACACATCACACAAACACTCTTCATGTCCGTCCGTCTGAGATATTGGACAAAAGATGAGCACAGAAAAAAATGGTTTTGAAATGCCGGAAGGAAGTTGTTCATAGGTTTCCGGTTTATTGACTTGATTGTGTGAGTGTGTGTGCGAGTCTGTTTATTTTTGCATTTTGTCATTTGTTCCTCCTCCTTTGTGCTGAAATAGAATTCCGTTAAAAGTTTTCAATTCAGGCGTTTAGTTCAAATGACAACAACAACTAATAGTTTTGTAGAATTTAATATTTAATTTTGTAATGCAAAAAACAAAAATTAGTGCGGCTAAATATTGGCACCACAGATAATAATATTTAATACCACCTGAAGAATAAAAGAAGAAATAAAGAAGAACAAAAATACAAACAAATCCTAAAGCACGAATAAAAGTTCACAAATTTTTGAATAAAAAAATTCTAAATGTTTCAATATTTGATATCAATATATGGTGAACGTTTTCTGTTTCACAGCATATCTTTGTGTCTTGAAATAAAAAGGACATAAAAAATCTGAAAATCGATATCAGAAGGTGGAAGAACTTCCGAGGTGGGAAATTTTGGAAGACCTGGTACTGCGCAAATTTCTTAATTTAAAAAAAATCGTAGTTAATTTGAAACAAGTTAAAAAATATCAGTTGGTTTTGTCGACAGATGTATACCCTCAGCCAATGTTAGATTATTTAAATATATTTTGTTGACTTCTGTTATGATTATTCAAATTGTTGAACCTCAATGAAGTAGGTTCCGAAGAAATGGAAATTCGAACTTTGTATCGGACCAAAATAAACATGGCATTAATATTGCGATGTGTCAGGTTTGGACTATATTTGTTACTTCCTTCACTGTATATGAGATATGCAATAATTTTCAGAAAATGTTAAAATGAGCGTAAGATGCCAGATAGAGTAGACCGAAGTATTGCATTTTCAAACTTCATCTAATACAGATAAAAATATTGGTATGGAAAAAATTACAAGAAAATCGAACATTTATATTCAATTTTACACGAAATCATAAATTTCATACTTGCAAAAAGAGTTGGATGCTTATCCCGCTTTCTTTAAGCGTTTTGTTTTCAAAAATCTTGAACCCTATGTGCGGTCCGATCTCTACCATCTTTATAACAGATCTTGTGCTAATGGAAATATTGAGATGTACTAAGCTGAAAAGAATCGGATGTTAATTTCCCGTTTTATGAACTTCATGGATATTCAAAATTTTGACCCTTTGTGGGGGAGGTACCGAAGGAATTGTCCGATCTATACCATATCTTTTATTAATGGAAATATTGAGATGTACCTAGTCTGTATGGGATCGGATGTGAATTTCCCGTTTTATGAGCTTCATGGATATTCAAAATTGTAACCCTTTGTTGGGGAGGTACCAGAAGGTGTGGGCCGTGTTAATACAAATATTGTGATGTGTGTAATTTGAATAAGACCGGATGTCTCTTTTATGGTCATTTTTCTTATCTAAAACTTTGACCCTTTGTGGGTGAGACATCAGAAGGAATGGTCCGATCTCTACCATCTTTATAACAGATCTTGTGTTGATGAAAATATTGAGATGTGCCAAGTCAGAATGGAATCGGATGTTAATTACGTTTTTTATGAGCTTCATGAATATTCAAAATGTTGACCCTTTGTAGAGGAGGTACCAGAAGGAATCGTCTGATCTCTATCAGCTTTATAACAGATCTTGTGTTAGTAGAAATAATGGGATATATGAAATATGAAGAGAACCGGATGTCTATTTCGGATTTTATGATCATTTTTGTTATTCAAAACTTTGACCCTTTGTGGGGGAGACATCAGAAGGAATGGACCGATCTCGATCTGATAGAAATATTGAGATGGGCTTAGTCTGAATGAAAGCGGATGTTTTTTAGCGTTTTATGAGCTTCATGAATATTCAAAATTGTTACCCTTTGTGGGCGAGGTACCAGAAAGAATGAACCGATTTATCCCATCTTCTTACCAGACCTTGGGTTGATAAAAATATTGCGATCTGTGAAATATGAAGACAATCGGACTCTTACATCACATTTTATAAGAGTTGTAATTATTCAAAATTTTGTGGAGAGGTACCAGAAGGAATGGACCGATCTCGATCTGATAGAAATATTGAGATGTGCTTAGGCTGAATGAAATCGGATGCTTATTTCGCGTTTTATGAGCTTCATGAATATTCAAAACTTCTACCCTTTGTGGGGGAGGTACCAGAAGGAATGAACCGATATATCTCATCTTCTCACCAGACCTTGGGTTGATACAAATATTGGGATCTGTGAAATATGAAGACAATCGGACTCTTACATCACATTTTATTAGAGTTGTAATTATTCAAAATTTTGATCCTTTGTGGGGAAGGTACTTGATGGAGTGGACCGATATTGTCCATTTTCCCATATGGCGTAGCACTGACGCAAATATTAGGATTTGCAAAGTTGGAACAAAATCGGATTATCCTTTCTCTTTCTGTGCAAAAGGAGTGGACCGATATTGCCCATCTCCGAACTCGATCTAAGTTTGACAATAATATTACGTTGTACAAAGTTTGGACCAAATCGGATACTCCCTTCGAGAGTTATTGTGCGCACCAGCCAGACAGACGGACGAACATCGCTATAACGACAATAAATGTCCTGAAACAATTTTGGTCCAATGAGACCTAGGGTCTAAAACAAGAATCAAAGCCGAACGACATAACGCAACGCAGAATTTTTGGTGAAACAGTATCTAAGGAAATTGTTCAAAGTGCCACTTTTTATTTATTGAAAAACTGAAGCTCATTTTTGGTTCAACAGGTACGTAAGCAGAATTGTGGATTTGGGAATGAAAATCAGGCAATAGCATTACAAAAGGTACCAATTCATCCAGATGTCACAGTTTCGTGTGGTTAATGGGCTGGTACTTCTTCAAAGTTGCGGCGAATTGTAACGCAACTGTGAATGGTGATCGCAATCGTGAAATAATATCCAAATTTTCCCCTGGATGGGATTCGTGAACATTTCATTTCCAGTTCGGGACCGAACTATTGACCTCCAAGACCGTGCCATTTAACACCTTTAGACTAATTTGTGGGACAATGTTAAAGCCCATTTTTATACAGACAAGTCCCCTTCAATCCACGCATTGAAAGAAAACATTTATTCGTGAGATACCGACCGAAATGTTGGAAAGAGTATGTCAGAAATGTACTAAGCGGAAGGACCATTTTTGCTGCAGTTGCGGTCAACATTTGCATGAGATATTCTTCAAACATTAAATTATAAGGATATAGGTAGGAGATCATTTGCCCATGCACATCCTGGAATTTCTATCCTAGAACTGAACCAGGTTTCATCAAATTTCGACCTTAATCCCGTTTCAAGTTCCTCACAACACGCTCTTTAAAACAAAACATACACAATTAAACACATTCTAATACAACTAATTTCCATGTGGACTATTAAATACTTACTCGCCATAGGCACCTTCACCCAGTGTCTGAGCCAATGTCCAACCTTCGACAAATTCACGATTAGATGATGATGGAGGCGGAGGATTATGATTATCGGTGGTGTTGCCACTGCCACCATTGCCATTAGAGGATGATGATAAGGCGGCTAATATTGAGGTAGACATATTTTTGCTTTGAGCTTTGCTCTCACACTCAGTGCTAGGGCGAACGACGAACGAAACGTGTTAAAAGTTTGCCGGTCGTGACCACAAAAAAGCAGCACAGGACACTCGTTGTCGTCGTCGTCGTCGTTTTGTTAATGACCAAAGTTTGGACAAAGATGCTGCTGCTGCCGAATGAATATTTGGGCAGTGGTGAAACTTGTTTTATGTCGTTTTCGTTGTTTCCTTTTATGGAAAATGGTGGTGGTGGTGCTGGTCTCCTCTCCTCTCTTCTTTATTTTTTTGGCAAATATCCAATGACGTCGATGATAACAAGTTTTGCTGAGTTGGGAACGAATGGGGGAAGACAGGCAGGGGAGAGCCGGTAGGTAGCCTGTTGTGTCTCTGTGTGTATTGGCTCTGGCTGGCTAGCTGCTCCAAAGGAAAGTTGAATTTTTGTTCGTGTGGTGTTGTTTCGGCTTTTGAAGTTATATGGAAATGAAATGATTGTCGAGAGAAGATATGTTAAGTTTTTGGCTTTTCTGGTTGATTTTTGTTGTTTTCCTGGTAAATGACCGGCTTGCTGGGTTGTTGTTTGGTGGTTCACTTGGCTAGGTTACTACTGCTGCTGCTGTTGGCTGGTTGGTTGGTGATGATGGTTGAATAATGTGTCTGGCCTTCAAGTCATAACGTCGTACGTTAATAAAGCAACACCAACAACCTCAAAAAAATTACCATATACAGATGGTTGGCTGATGGATGGATGGTTGGTTGGGTTGGCTGTTTGGTCTGTCGGTCGGTCTGGTTGGCTTGGCTGATTGCTACTATGGCTATGGCTTTTCGAGTTGCTGCTGTTGCTGGTTGCTCGGACTCATGTGTTGTTGCTGGCTGGCTGGCTAACTTGATTGAATGCTGTTTGCTGTTGTTGCTGCTACTCCTCTGCGAGGACGAGTTGGGTTTAGGGCTATTTATATTTGTATATTTCTCTGTTGATTTGGTTTCCTTTTTGTTTTTTGCGTTTTCTTTTGACTTCGAGTTTGGTTGCCAGGCTTGAATTTTGAGGTAGGTTGTATGGGTTCGAGTGTGTGTTGGAATTACTTGGCTTGTCGGCGTTTTTTTTTTTTTTTTTGTTTATTTAAACAAACAAAGGACAATACGTGTTGCTATTTATGACCCCCAAAAAAAAACGTGAACGACAAGTATCCGTTGTTCTTGTTCTGCTTAGCTATGCATTTCTGGCTTTGATTGTTTCATAATTTATTACTGGATGTGCCACCACCGCCACACAACACCAACGACCACGATTGATGTTGACATTCGTTTATATCCTCCTCATATCCTTTTTTTTCTCCGTGTTGTTATCTTCTCTTCTGATTCGTCTCTATCAGCATTAATTTGTGTGTTTCCACGGCCACCTTTTTTGTTGTTATCCTCCTCCTCCTGATTAGCTGCTAAATCTACAATAAACGGGAAAAAAGAGGATGAAAAAAGTTATCATGGCATGAAATTGAATTTGTTTTGAAATGAATGAGGCTGCTGCCTCGCCTTGTTATTATATTAAAGGATAAATTGGCCTCAATGCAAGAATATCCATCCATCCTAATCAAATAGAATGTTAATTAATTGTTAGTCAAATATCCGGCCAAAATAAAAAAACAAGAAATTTCTGTTCATTTTTTTTGTCCACGTAATTTATTTAAATGTAATCTATTTGAATTAAGGACAGCAAAAGGAAGTAAGGAAGAATTATGTCAGGTTTTTTCTAACCCCCTTCCCCTCCCTCCAGGAAAATAACAAAAAACAATCCCAATAAGCAATTTAAAGACAGATTTCGCAATATCGGGTATATTTAGATAGTTTCAATTTGATATCATCGTTTTAAGGCGAATTGAATTATAGAATGGATTTAGAATAATTTTCGCTGTATGATCTGAAAAAAAATACATTTTCTTATAAAGGACATTCTTTAAAAAACAATTGCGTTATTGAATTTTTACTTTAAGAAGAAGTCAATAATTTTCTTTACTTATGTCGATTTTGTGCTGTTTTAAATCTACTTATTAAAGAAGTTTTCAATACGAAGAGACCTATAGAAGTAGATGTTCGAAGCATCCTTCCACCAGACGAAATAGTGTCAACTTGCCTTCCGATTAAGAAAAGACTTCCTACAAACCGCTATAGTAAAGGGAAAGAGAAAACGCCTCACTGGACCTCAAAGTTCTAAAGAGGAGTTCAGTTTTGATACTTTTTTAAGAGAGTGCGAGTTTCTATGAGGGTTACTTCTGTTTGAGAAATTAAAATGTGAATCGAAATGCTCGAAATAGAGTGAGAGTTTACTTTTAGTGTGAAGACCTGAAGATCTTCTCAAAAAAGGTCTCCTCAGCTAAAGATCTTCTCATACAAGACCAGAAGGTCTCCCGATAGAAGACCACAAGGTCTTCTCATAGAAGACCTAAAGATCTCCTCACAGAAGACCTAAAGATCACCTCAAGAAGACCTAAAGATCTCCTCAAAAAAGATCTCACCATAGAAGACAACAAGGTCTTCTCATAGAAAACTTAAAAATCTCCTCATAGAAAACCAGAAGGTCGACTGATAGAAGACCACAAGGTCTTCTCAAAGAAGAACTAAAGATCTCCTCAAAAAAGGACTCATCATATATAACCATGAGGTCTTCTCATAGAAGACCTAAAGAACTTTTCATAGAAGACCACAGGGTATTCTCATAGAATACCTAAAGATCTCCTCAGAAAAGGTCTCATCATAGAAGACCACATAGTCTTCTCATAGAAAACCCAAAGATCTCCTCATGTCTCCTGATAGAAGGACACAAGGTGATCTCCTAATAGAAGACCACAAGGCCTTCTCATAGAAACCCTAAAGATCCCCTCATAGAAGACCAAAATGTCTCCTGATAGAAGAAGGACACAAGGTGATCTCCTAATAGAAGACCACATGATCTTCTCATAAAAAAAACCCAAAGATCTCCTCATAGAAGACCACAATGTCTTCAGATATAAGAAGACAAGGTGTTCTCATAGAAGACCTAAATATCTCCTCATAGAAGACCACAAGGCCTTCTCATAGAAAACCTAAAGATCTCCTCATAGAAAACCAGAAGGTCTTCTCATAGAAGGCAAAGTCTTCTCTTGGAAGACATTAAGGCCTCCTTTTAGAAGACAGGAAGGTCTTCTCTAGGAGGACTGGAAGGTCTTCTCCTAAAAGGCAGGAGGATCTTCTCTTGTTGATATAGATCTACACTGTGGGTTGAGAAAATACACATACATACAAAAAAATACAACGAGGGTATGATAAAAACTGATAGAGTACTCGGCAGAGACCAGAATTCGGTCGATTTCAAGGGAATTTAAGTTCCATTCGAAAAGGAGAAAAACATGGTCTCTCTCTCTCTGTCGTTGGAGTGACATTGAAAAGACCTAAAGATCTCCTCATAGAAGACATAAAGATCTCCTCAAAAAAGACGAGAAAGTCTTCTCATAGAAGGCACAGTGTTCTCTTAGAAGACATGAATGACTTCTCTTAGAATACAGGAAGGTCTTCTCTTGGAAGACTGAAAGATCTTCTCTTAGAGGACTGGAAGGTATTCTCCTAAAAGGAAGGAAGGTCTTCTCATGGAAGAAGAGAAGGTCTGGTTGATATAGATTTACGACAATACTCTTCAAAGTGTTTGGCCTAAAAGGCAGGAAGGTCTTCTAATGGAGGAAGAGAATGTCTTGTTGGTATAGATTTACGACAATACTCTTTAAAGTGTTTGGTTCTGCTTCCTTTGCAGCTTTGGGTTGAGAAAATACGCATACTAACAAATAAATACAACGATGGTTTGATAAAAACTAATAGAGTACTCGGCAATGACCAGAATTCGGTCGATTTTAAGGGAATTTAAGTTTTACTCGAAAAGGACCAAAACACGCACCCTCTGAAAATAAAAATACCCTCTGACATTGAAAAATAGAGTATATTCGGTTTTTTGTTCTACTTCCGGAGAGGTTCCCACTCGAATTCGAGTAGAGACTGAAACTCTCTCAATCCAATTATGGTCGGGGAAGTAGTAGTATCCCAAAAATCGAATACTACGTGGTTAATGACAATCTGTACATTCAAAGCCACAAAATATCCGCACCTTGCAACCTTTAGTTTTCTCCGTTTCTCGGCAGAATACCAACGGTCTTGGCGATTTTGGTCAGATATGGATTTTGGTAATCTAAAAAAGCAGACCTTCTTTTCTAAGAGAGAAGACTATACTCTGTTCTATGAAAGAATTCAAGATTACACGAGGAACACCTTCTGGTATGCTATCTCAGGTGAAAGTATACCTTCAGGTTTTTTATGGAAAAATATATTCTGTTCTTCCATGAAAATACCTTCTGTTCTTTAACGAAAAAAGGCCTTCTGAAAAAATACCTTGTCTTGTATGAGTGGACTCTCTTGTCTTCAATAAGAGAAGTTGTTACGGAAGAAGAACTTCCGCTCTTCTATGGAATATAATACGACCTACTAGTCTTTGAGTAGAGATGATCTCAGGTCCTATAAAGCAGATGAAGTAGATCTTCTTGTCTTTTATGGAAGAGGAAGAAGACCTTAAGGTCTTATGTGGAAGAACCTGTTCTGTTATTCAATAATAAGGCGTTAGAGACCACAAAGTATATTATTTTAAATTTCGTATTTGCACTTCGTAATAGGTACTACAGCCTATGACATAAAATTGTCTGTGCAGGTCCACGACTTCGTGCAGCCCCCCATATTGGTACCTCCCTATATTCGGGATTATGATGATTTTAGCTACATTCTTCACTGGAATCGTTTCAAATTTCGTGTTGGGAGATCTTAATGGTTACTACAACCTATGGAAAAAAACGTATGCACGTCCACGTCTTCGTATAGCCCCTATATTCGGTCTTTTTATGGTTTTAGCAACATTATTTACCGGAATTATTTCAAATTTACAGCCTATGACAAACATTTTTGTATGCAGGTCCACATCTTTGTACAGCCCCCATATGACGGTACCTCTCAAGACACTGTATTTTTATGATTTGTGTGACATTATTCACCGGAATTGTAACAAAATTCGTATTTAAAGTTCGTAATGGGTACTACAGCCTATGACAAAAAATCGGTTAACGTTTTGTATTTTGATTATTTTATCGACATTATTCACTGGAATTGTTTCAAATTTGGTATTTGAAGTTCGTAATAGGTACCTATGAGAAAAAATTTCGTAAGTAGGTCCACGTCTTTGGAAATTTGACATTTTTCAAGTTCCTTCCAAATGGTGGAAGGTATTAAAAGTTCGGCCCGGCCAATCTTAGCTGCTTTTTACTTGTTTTCCCCCGTTCTTCCTTTCATATTTCTTAATTTCTTCTTTCTTCATTTTTTCCTTACTTTATTTATGTATTTATTACTTCCTTCCGTCTTTTCAGTCTTCCGTCCGCTCTTCTTTTTACCCTTTCATTCTTTATTATTCCATTATTTGTCTTTCGTTTTCTCCTTTATATATTTCCTTGTTTCATCTTTATGTCCTTCTTCCTTCTGTCCCTTTCGACCTTTCTTTCATTGTTCATTCTTTTCTTTTTCTTTACTGCAATCGTTCGTACTTTTCTGCTCTATGGAAAACAACATCCTGCTCTGCTGGAAGAAGGCTATGGAAGACAAATATCGGTCTTACACAAAAAAGTTTCGGACCTCCTACTACAGATTTTCATGGCTTCTATGGAAATCGACATCTGCGTAGCTTCTGGCCTTCTACTGAAGGTAAGGCGTTTTTCAGTAGAAGACCTTTTGATCTTCTTTGAAAGATGGCCGTTTAGTCTTTTTTTTTTTTTTTGAAAGAAGAAGGCTTTCATGAAGAATTCAGGACCTTCTGATATTCTACGAGAGAAGATCTGTTTCCTTTTCTAAAAGAAGATCTCCTGGTACTGTACGATAGAAGACTTTCTGGCCTTTTAAGAAAAAATAACTTGCCCTCTAAGAAGATGGTTTCTATGAAAGAAGGCTTTGCATTCTCCTATAAAAGAAGACTTACTAGTATTCTGACATGATTGGATAAGACTTCAGAGTCTTCCATCAAATATTCCCTTCTATTGTTCTGTCAGGAAAGACTTTCTCCTATAAAAAATATTCTTTTCGTTCTCTATAAAGCATTATGTTCCGGTCTTCTATGAAAACGATTATCTGATTTTCTACAAATAAATCCTGCCTAGTCTTCTATTAAAGAAGACCACGTTGTCTTCTAAGAAAGAAGGCCTCATTCGGAGTCTTCTGAGAAAATAAAAACCATCTGGTCTTTTGTGAGTTATTATTATTATTAAGGAGCCTGTATTGGTCTTCTGTGAAAAAATACTTATTAATCTTAAAGTCTCTCTTTCTCTTCTCTCTTTAGAGAAAAGGACCTAATGGAACCTACACCAAATATTTAGTACAACCATTAGATAGCAAC